TTATAATAAAAAAATAAATTAAAAAAATTACATAAAAAATGAAAACTTTTGAATAGTTGATTTGACATTAACATTGATATATATTTTTTTTAAATTTTTATGATATCTTCAAATTTATATTATTATTATTTGATATGTTTACATTTTCGTCATAAATTATGTTGTTGTTGTTGTGGTTTGTTAAAAATTGTTGATTTTATCCCTCGAGTTTTAAAATTACAATTTTTGTTACTATAGTTTGAAATTTATTTCTATTTCAATTCTTGAGATTAAACACTACTTTTAAGTACAAGGACAAAAATAGTAATGAATTATCAACCAATGAGGATGAAATTCGTAATTTAAAAACTACAAGGACAAAAATAGAAAATTTCAACTAACCATAGGGACTAATAACGTAATTTATCTAAATTATATTTGTTCATTGACCTTGACGGACTTCAAACTTGGACTACATGTTGACCCAGGGTCTTATTTGGATATATTTGTATCATTATTATAAGAAAGATTACTTGTGTTAATTTATTACATATAGATTGTAATTTTTTATAACATGTATTTTTAGGACAAGGAGTTTATATAATTATAGTAACAGATGGAGTTTTTTTTTATTATTAACTTAAATATCCAATTCGCTATGCGAGCCGACTAATCCCAGCACAATCACCTGCTTTGCAGATAGTCCGGAGTTACCTCATTTAAACCTCCGTGGCCACAAGGGGATTTTTATTTCTTATTGGATTTGAACTTGGGACCTCCAGGTACTTTTGGCCTTTGGAGCCAAACTCAAATTAATCAGGCACCACCCTTGTGGTTGGAGTTTTAAATTCATATCATATAAATATTCCAAATTATAAATTCATCGAAGATATGTTATCATATCATTTCTTATGACGTTCTAAATTATGAGGGAATAAACAAAAGAAAATATTTATTTGAGGAGTCGGGGGTGTGAATGTGGATTTTGAAAATGATATTTGATTAGATTATTATAACTCTAAGTCGTTTATTAATTATTTTTTTCTTCAAATTGTTTTTTTAGGAATAAAATAATATATGAAACAAGTTGATTATTAAAAATGTTATTAAAAATAAGAGTAAAATTCAATTTTGGTTTCTATGGTTTATTGTTTTTCTTGGATTGGGTCCTTATAAATATTATATTATAAGAAAACCTTCGTGGCATGTAATAATGTTTGGTTTTGGTCCCTCTTGTTAAATGTTGTTAAAAAATTCTGTTAAATTATGGTTATTGTGGTCATTTTGTTATTTTCTTTAATTATTTGTTTAAAAATATGTAACAAAGGATCGAATATATATATATATATATATATATATATATATATATATATCATATATAATATTAAGTCTGGAGGCCATTTTAGAGGTAAATTCAGACTTATAACTCTAATTTTCCCAGACTTTCATACTTGTATGTCTTACAAGTCTGGAAGACAACTCTGAATTTTAACTGAGGAAAAGGTTTCCAGACTTGTCTTCAGACTTTTATACTAGTATGTCTTACAAGTCTGGAAACCAACTCTGAATTTAACTGAGAAAAAGAAGTTCAGACTTGTCCTCAGACTTTTATACTGGTATGCCTTATAAGTCTGGCAAATAACTCTGAATTTTAACTGAGAAAAATGAGTTCAAACTTATAAGTCTGAGGAATGGAAATCCAGAGTTTTGCTTATTTAAGTATTTGCAAAGAAATCCCTTTTCATACGGAAATCAGTTATGTTTACAGAGACATATATCAATTAAATAGGCTCATTTGAACCATAATGTAAGTTGTGTCTACATACATGTTCAGCGTTCAGACTTCTAAGTCTGGAAAAGAAGCCTCCAGATTTAGAAACTATAGAAAACATATCAAAAATTTCTAATTAGTCTGAGAAATCAGTTAAACCACGAAAACAGGAAAATAAACGTGTAGAGGAACAAATGTCACTTAAATAGACCTATTTGAACCGTAAGTGAAAATTGTGTCTAGATACATATTTAGGCGGGAAAAGTTAATAACAGTCGCACAAAAACATGACACGTGTCCTCAAAGTTACTTATTTATTAGGCATATATATATAGAGAGGTGGGTTATTATACAACCTCTTACATTTGTACAACCAATACAACTCAATCTCAATCGTCCATTTAATTTGATGAATATGTAATTTATAGAAGTTTTGATTATTTCCTGATATAAAGTATTAATCATAATTAATAAACCGTATTCATATTCCATAAATATTTAAATCATAATAAATGAACTCTTATCATTTTCATAAATATT